AAAAAAAAAAAAAAAAAAAAAAAAAAAACCAGCCATATGCCTGACTGGACTGCGATTTCGAACTCCCCGCCCCGGCTATTTTGCGGACCTGAGTTTCGACTGCATTTCAAACTCGTGCCCTGACTGGACTGCAGAAACTATGTTTCGAACGCATTTTCAAACTCTAACCGTGACTGCGCCGTAGTTTTCTCTTATTATTATTATCCTACCCCACGGGGGGAAGTCAATGACGCGCTGCGTGCCGTATTCGGGTCGAAGTTTTGATGAGCGGCGGCGGATGAAGGGGATTGAGGGCGGGGAAGTGTGCTGAGAGGCGCGTGTACCGAAATGTTCACAGTGCGCCACAAAACGCAGGTGCGCGCCCGAGGGGCGGGGCATGCAGGCGGTGTTGATGCGGATAAACATCTTGGAGGTGAGCCGTCCGATAAGCGGGCAACCTTTTCTTTCCTTTTGTTTTTGTTTCTGCCTTTTTTTTCTTTTGGTTTTGCTTGTCGGGTGTCGTTTTGATCGTTTTGTGCTTTTTTTTTTTTTCCGTTTGCTCTTGCGTGTCGTTTCCTTCCTTTTCGTTTTCGCGAGCCCCATTGTTTGTTGTGTTGTGTGTTGTGTTGCGCGTCGTCGTCCCTTTCTTTGTTTTTCTTTTTCACCCGTTCCCACCCTTGCCCGTCCCATCGTTTCCGTCTCGCTCGTTTCCGCCCAAAAACAAAAGGAAGAGCCACGCACCCGCCCGCGTAACACACACACACACACACACGTGCTCAGTTGCCCACGCCTGCCCACACACACACGCCCGCCCACCTACACACACACATACGCTCGCCTGCCTACCCAACATTAATATTAATATTTTGAAGTTAAGTTTGTTGCTGACTTTCGTAGTTGGGGTTCGTAGTTGGGGTTCGAACCCATGCACAAATTTGAGAAACCCAACTGTCCGATGAGATAACCGTTGAGGCAGATTGGGTCCCTGTGTGATTTTGGGGATCATTTTTTTTTTAAAGTGTATCCCGTGTCAGGCAGTTGGCACGTCAGGATGTGTCTATGTGTCCAAACCCTAACCTTGCAGAGTGGAAAACCCGTTCAAATGGCAAAAATGGAAAATGTTTTGAATCGCCGTCATGATGCATTTTGTAGCCAAAATGATTTTTAATTAAAAAAAAAAACAAAATCCTAAAAAGATCATAACGAAATCTATAGACTCAAATTTTTTTATATTTTTTCTTATATTCTTCTCAACTCAAAAGGTCACAGAAGATGCAGGACTTTTCTGTTGACCGGCACATGGCATAGCAACGAAAAAGGAAAAAGTGACGAATTCACGCCGTGGTTATTTAACAGTCGAAATGTTTTTTTAAGTTTTTAAAAACATTTTTTTCTGGAAAGATCATGACTTAATCTCGAGGCCCTCCAATTTTCACGATTTTTAACGCATTCTTCTGACCGTGAAAAAGCATTGAAGTTACGGTACTTTTTCCATTGGCCCACACGTCGAAGAGTGGCAAAAATGGAAAATGCACCGAATTGGTGCGGCGACCATTTCAGCATCAAATTATTTGTTTTGTTTTTTCAGATATTTTTCACAGGAAGATAAGGACCTAGTCTACAGACCCCCAATTTTCAGGATTTTCAACGCATTTTTCTGAGCTAGAAAAATCACTGTAGTTAGGGTACTCTTTCTGTTGGCCCACACGTCGCGGAGTGGAAAAAATGGAAAATGAAGCAAATCGGCGCAGCAACTGTTTTAAGGTCGGAAATATTTTTCTTTGTTTTTCCGTTATTTCTCCTAGAAAGATCACGACCTAATCTACGGGTTACCAAAATTTCAGATTTTCGGATTATTACTTTAAGTGCGAAAAATCACAAAAGTTAGGGTACTTTTTCAGATTTTCGGATTATTACTTTAAGTGCGAAAAATCACAAAAGTTAGGGTACTTTTTAGTTGCGGGACTAGACCGGCCGGTAACCAACGGTCGCCGCCCTTCCGAAAAACCTCGCCCTAACTCACCGGCTGCAGGTTTTTTGGTGGCGGCGGACAGGTGGTTTCATGAGTAGGGGAGCAAGGCCCGCGATCTCCATGGGAGCTGAAGTTGGCTAAGGGCATCACGACACCACTCTCTTTTGTTTGTTTGTTTTTTTTCTACAAAATGCTCTAATCTATTCGTGGTGAGCCGCACGTGTTGTCAACCTGAACATTTTCATCGCCACACCACTCTCCAAATGTGAAAAAGAAGTGTGGCGGGTGCATCTGACCCTGTTCTAGCGGGAAGTTCATTGTACATTTTGCACATTTCTCAAGTGGTGTGGCGATGCCCTAATGGTTCCACAAAGTCTCTCTCTCTCTCTCGCTCGCTCGCTCCCCCTTTTCTCCCTTTCATTCTTTTTGTTTTGTATCGACTTTTCAAACATGTTTGAAGTTTCGTCAAAAAAAAAAAAGTGTACATCTAATCAGTACTCACACGTAACACACACACACACACACACACACACACACACACACACACACACACACACAGGTCTGTCTTGCGTGTTAAAAAAAGAAGAAAAAAAAGTGTGCTCTGCTACTAAGCACTTTACATGTACGTGGACTTTTCTCTGGACCAAATGTATCCGGACCGATGGAACACTTTGGATGGATCTGGACCATTATCAGATCCAGTTAGATTTTTTATTTTTTTCTTTCTTTTCCTCCGTTCCTCTCCACTTTGTCGTGGGTTCCGCTACACCTCCTTCCCCTTCCATTCCCACCCTTTCCTTTTCCCCACTACAGTCTCACACGCCCCAACTCCTCGTCTCTCTCCAAAAACTCGAATTCCCCTCCTAAGCCCATCCACATTCACCCTGCATACCCTCACATCACAAATCTAAGCTCTTCACTACCAAACCCATCTCTCCCCTCTCCCCTTTTTAGGTCGACCCATTCCCTCAGCTTCCTGACCTAACACAATCATCTGAACCTCTCATTTACCGCCCACATACACTCTTCACTATGGCATTTTCAACCCGACTTGCCCACTCTTCACTATACCGATTTTAACCCGACTATGTCAATACCCGTTAGTATTTTTTATTCTTTATTAATTATAAATTATAAATTATTATTTTATATTATTTTTTTTACGCTCACCACATGTTTATCACTTGTCTTTTTTCTTCCAACTATCCTCCACTTCAGTCCGAACATAGAGCTTCATTTTCCATTCTCGTCCTTTCCCTTGCCCCACTAAAGTC